GATGCCACCCCAATGAAAATGAACAATTCAGTAACTTGGACAGATGCTTAGAATAGATGGACCTGCCCGTGCAGCCTTCCTTAGCTTGGTTTTTAAAATAGTGATAGTGTGTAGAAAAATGAGAAATTTACTGCTTCTTCCCAAGAGCAGTATTTTAAAACCAGGCTCCAACCCCTGCCAACAGATTCAAAAAGGGGAAAAAGCATGAATTTATTACATATACTTTCAAATTCCTCTGCAATGACCTTCATAAATAAACATGTATTTAAAACCCAAAATACAACTTCCCCCAGTTGCTTGTCGGAATTAAAAGGATTTTAACAAAGTTAGCAATATCCAGCCACTGTTACGTGCCTGTAGAGAGCACGTGTTTTTGCTTTCCAGGTGTCTCCTATCACCCAGGTGATGTCAGGAGAATGAGGATTGACAATCTCCTTGTCAAACCAGAAGTTGGACTGGGGCGGTGCTTAGCAGTTACAACTGCACTGGAGTAGCAAGATGGCGCGATCAGTTTGCATGCTGTTGCTCTTCGGCGAGATATACGTATTTGTTGGGCTGAGATTGTTCTTTTGTACTTGTGGTGGATTTAAGAACTGTGTTGTATCTCGTATGCCTGTAGATTGAGTATAGAAATTTAGATGTAACATTATTATTATTATTATTATTATTATTATTATTATTATTATTATTATTATTATTATTATAGTATATATTATTATACACACTTGGTCAATTGCAGAGTGGTTGAGTGGAGGGGCAAGTTAGTTTGTGAGCGCACCTACATACTCACCTGTAAGAAGGAAACTGTTTATATACACTAGGTAAAGTAGGCGGGCGCCGACCTTTGTAGGTTTTAAAAGGGTCACTAAAGATAAAGATATTCCTAGTCGACTAACACTCCTGCATTTTAGCGATTAGTCGAATAATCGTTCATTTATGATATTAATATAATAACTTGCATATACACAAGGAAAGGTACATTCCAAGTTGAAGTTTAACACTTCCATATGACAGAAAATGCTAAAGCATGATATTAGCGCTTTCAAAATGAAAATTAAGCGCTTAAAACAGAATAGTAAAGCGTCTAAAGTATACAGCGCTTACGGACACAAAAATCAATGGCCGGAATGTTATAGGCTAATTATAAAACATAAAAACAGCAATCAGACTGCCTGTGCATTTTAATAATTTATTATCAAAAATACAAACTAACAGTTACATGTCAAACAAACAAACAAAAAAAAACAGTTTTGAATAAACTAAAATTTAGTTAGTTTAGAAGACAGAACTAGCAAAAGAAATTGACACGAGATGGCAACTGACGGAAAATATCGTGACCAGCATTTATATACAAGCTGCTGTCTTAGACCCACGTTTTAAGAGCTTGTCATTCTTTGACCAACACGAACGAGAAGATGCGTACTCCACAAGTTGTTTCTTATTCTGTTAGAAAAATTAGTCTGATGTTTGCAATTTGTTGTTTCAGGTCAAGACTCATCCGTCGTCTTAATGGCAGTTTGCGGCTTTGCTCTGATATTTTTGATTTGTATTAGTGTTCTTTAAAATTATTTGTTCCACATTTTGTCTTAAATATAGTTGTTCTAAACAATTTAATCAAATACTTAGGCTGTTAATTTGTTTGTCTTCTTTTTTATTCTAAGTTTTGGCGTTGTGCGATGTGCCATGTGCATTTATTAAATTGTTCATTTTTGTTAATTTTCCTTTTGAACAATATAAAAATTCTATTCATTTTCAAAATTAATAATCCCACACTTTGGACTTTTTTTCCTGACATAATTATTAGCATCAGCCAGACACCTCTCCCACAAGTGCGCTTTGGTATACCGCGAGGCACGAGATCGCGTTGATCTCTCGTTGCTTTGATGTCATACACTGACTGCGCAGCCCCTGATTGCCTAATTTCACATGAATTTTTTTGCGACTAACCGACTAATGAAAATGTATTCGACCAAGCCCTCTTCATATCGACTAACGTTTAGCCGACTATTTGGGGGCAGCCCTACTTTACGTATACAACCTTTCATATCCTGTGGGGTGTTGGGGCTTGTTAATTGCTGCCTTTGCACATTTGGTAAATTGGTCCCACACACTCATGTTCGCCTCCCTGCCCTAGACCAGGGAGTGTGTAACACTACATATGCAAGTATAGAGTCCAACTGACATACTACACTAAGAAACCATAAAACAGAACATCACAATGTCAGTTATTCATAAACTTGTTAGTCAATACTGCTTCTGGGAAGAACTGACATTATTAACAACTGTTTCAGTATTATTGACACGTTTCAGTAAGACCACGTCGCACAACGCACAAATACAGCACACTAGTAGTGTATGATGGTGAATGAGAAAAAATTTGAAACCCAAAAAACTGGAAACACAATGCAAACAGAGGGCAGAATTAAGATCTCGTACTTAATATGTCAGACTACCTAAGTACACCAGCAGTGGTGGTTTAGCATTCAGACTGATAAAAGTAGACTGGAAAATAGACAGGCTGTGGTGTAACAATACAAGTCAAGGAAGACAAGTTAACTTGCCGAGTGAGGCACTAATGTCATTAAAAATTTGGACTTAACACTGATATGACATAATGAAACTCACATGAAGGGCAGCTCACTGACCAGTGAACTTATCAACCTTTATTGCAGTAATAAGGGTTTATCAGGCCAAATGCTCACTGGACACCATTGCAACACAACACAAGCAAGGCTAGAAGGACACAACCTGGTTGCTTTGTTGCAATCAGCTTCTCAGAGGTATGACACACAAAAGGTACCCAACATGGAAAGCAGGTCTTGAAACTGCTTACAGAGCAGTCCACTGCTCCACTTTTAACCACCAAAATCTTGCAACAGCATGCCTTCTGTTGAAGTCAGGCTCAAATCAAGATGGTGCAACATCAGCCATAGTGAGCATTTAAGTCAGGAAAGACAGCATATTTGAAATGCCATTAGGTCTATACCAGCATATGTACACAAAATACTATTCATGATAGGTTCGAAAAGCACTGAACCAAAGGTGAAAACTTATGTACAAGCATATCAATTATACAAAAAGTCAACTGATCAAATCTAAAAATTAAAATAATTTCTTATATTAAAATTAACAGTCACACTAATTTCAACTAACAGCCTGGAGACAGTAGAACAGGTCAGGGTGACACATTGGCAGAAACTAAGAAATTCCTTCCAAAAGAAAATCAGTGACTACTGGCAAGTCATACAAATTTGCCCAAAACTCCTGTAAAACCATAAAATCTGTTGTTAGCCTACTTAAAATTTTCCACTAGATCGCACAGAATGTACACATTCCTTTGAACAGGTCCAACTGTGGTTACGATTTCTGTATCGGGGAAAGTGAACAAATTCCTGTAAAACGAAAGGCTTGCAGTGGAGATGTAATTGAGTGCTGTCCCGAGTGCAAGTAAAGAGACAGCGTTAAAGTCCGAAAGGCTGTGTGTGTGTGTGTGTGTCTGTGTGTGGATTAGGTTTACATTACATTGTGGAGTTGTGAGGACCAAATGTCCCCTACAGCTTGATAAAAACCTGCTATTTTGACGTTGTGGGGAACATTTTTCAGGTCCCCACAAAGATCTGTGAATGCAATCAAAAGTGTTAAAACGTGAGAAGTCTTCCATTTAATTTGGTTACTTATGGGTAAGTTTAGGGGTGGGTATGGGTTAAGGTTGTCATGTTGGGGCTTAGCAATGGGGCAGCAATGAATTGAGAGTCCCCACAAAGATAAAATTACAAACTTTTGTGTGTGTGTCTCACAGACAATAACACCACTGGCGAATTCAGTGTCTTTAACTTTAGCATCGTTATACCACTGTGCGGCTCACATTAAGAGGCTTCCACTTGTTACTTCGAAGCAATAGATCATGTGACACTTCGACTAAGGCTAACAAAAACATGCAGTTCTACATTTTCCTTCTCAAGGAATATGACCAGCACCACACATCAAGTCTTTCAGTTTGTTTACCACCGTGTAACATGAGTGGGAGACATCCTGCCTCCGCAAACAGGTAGAAAGGGTTAAAGGAGAGCTCGGATAAAACTTTGATGTCTCCATTCAAAATAGAAGTCAGTAACCAGACAGAAAAAACCACGCCCACAAACAACCATTGTCGTCCATTATCATTATGTCTAACAGGTTTATGTTGAATCTGAAACAAAAACTTTTTTTACCATCATGCAAGCAACAGGAATGTTGCCATGTCGTAAGCCGTCCATTTCACTGTCGCTTAGTGTCATAACATGCAGTTACCCCATTTAGCGAACCAGAACCGAAGCAAGGCTCGGTTCGGCTTCCTTTAAGCAATGTATGAAGGGGGGTTCTGATATTCCGCCGCCACTCGATCAAATACACGAACTGTCACACTGCAATATCTGCAGTGTAGGTAAACTATTTAAAAATCATTTCTATCTCTTCAGATCATATTTAGCCCATCGACCGCCCCCACCCCTGCAATTATTAACTGTTGAAACTGATGGTTTTGCATACAACAGTAGATAGGTCTACAACGATAAAAAGCACTGAAGTTTCTAATGTGATAAAGTATCGCTGCTAGCGTACGTATTTTTTTTAAATTAACACATCTGGACATCAGACAGGAAGATCTCAAATAACCGAGGTAAATGCTCAGATTTGAACAGTTCATGTCGCCGTGGCCGAATGCCACTTAAGTATTACAGCATCAAAACAGTGAGAACAGGTGTTTGTAGTCCGCAGAAAAGAAAAGTTTTTCCTCAGACGCATCATATAATGTTGTACAGACCCCTTCGATAAAAAAACGAAAATAAAAATGCGAAACGAAAGGAAAGCTAAGATTCAAGTTGTTTATTGTCAAAGTACCGACTATAGCAGCCACCACCTACTTTTTCCCCCCCTTCACGTAAAGTACCGTTCGCTACTTATATAAATCGTAAAAACGCCAAATTTAAGCGGCCTCCCTCGAAAACGCTCGCGACTTTTACCTTTTTCGCAGATACCACGCTGAGAATCCCACTCCGGCTTTCCGTTTCTCACGGTTTTGCGACCTTGCTGCAGCGTATTTCAAACGAGTAAGATTTCCAAGGATCGAAACTGAGGAATATAAGGCCCTCCCACCCATCCAGAGCACTGCCGCTCCTCGTCTCCGCGCCCCATCTCTATTGGCCGGGGAGGCGGTGCAGCCCTCGGAATAATTTAGATCTCCTCCCTTCCCGGTTAAAAAATAATGACATCATTGGGACGACAAGGATTGTGGGAGAAAAGGAAGCGAGAGTAAGCGGGGTGTCGGACGCGCTCCCGCGCGAAGGCGATGCTCGCGCGCCGCATCCACCGAAACGGCGTGTCTTCTTGCTTGTCAGTGATTAATTCTGTCTTATGGATTATGATAAATGCATTTAATCCTTACTAACCTTATGGCACCAGGTTATTTCCCGTTGTACAGTAAATAGCTGTCCGAGCAACGTATTTTGTTCGTCCAGCTAATAGCTAATTATTGGAAATTGAAAAAAACACTGAACCGTACTCTAGATCATACCCATATTTATTCACTATAATTCATTTTATAACTTTTTAATGACTTCAGCAACCCGCATCCCCGAGATATTTGTTAGACACCTAGTAACTGACATGAAATAAAATAATAAAAATGAACAGTGTAAACAAATTAGTAAAGAAATGCATTACCATCTCATGTTGAGTCGACTAACCTTGTTTTCCTATTTTAGAAAATGGGTGGGGACGAACTAAGGCATTTAATTAATCGTTTTAATTGTGTAAGTTTACCCTCGTGACGTATAAATGATAAATTCTTAAATACCCAGTAACCGAGCCACGGCAGGTTAAGATGCTTCGTTTGTAAGCTTTGTTCTTTAGAGTTTTAAAGGGCTCTGCAGCGTAAAATGTATGTTTACATAACCAAAATGCGTTTGCTTAAAATGGCTATGCCTTCTGATGCGTGCAAATATTTTCTCGAAGTGTATAAATACTAAGATATAAGTTAAAAAGTGATATGCGATCAGATATTCTCAACAATTTAATTTCTTTCCGGTAAGGATAAAATTATTGGTCATGCGAACATATTTGACACTGCTGTGACGACTGATGAATCTGAATCAGAGAAATCAGCTTACACTTTTTCCATTACGTGTTAAAATTCAAGAATGTGCCGACCACCTCTGTCTGTATTCTGGAGTGTCGTATGTTACCATAGTAATAAAACACTTGTATGACTAGAGCCTGATGAGGTCCTTCACACAGACTTTTCTGGTGCAGTGTGGACGTGTAACGATATGTATAATAGACAACTGTGTTCACATAGTAAAATGTGGACGTAGGCTTGGCCATTCATTTAAAATGTCATAGGTCTTCATGCTCCTTTGCATCACACGTTTTCCCCAAACAATGAGGTACACATAGACCACATTTCCCACAGAGCAAACAAAAAGTCGCTCTCAATTTATTTATTTATTTATTTTAAGTAGCATTCAAATTCCAGTAGTCACACTGTCCAGCATTGAAAGAAAAGGCCTTTAATTCAGAGTAAAAAAATCAGGATCTCAATAATTTATTTTACACTTTACAGTTTTTACGTTGAAGATTACTTATCTTTGTTGTTTTATTACTTCACCTAACTGCAGGGCGTGAAAAAACAATAAATTAAAGTTGATAAGATCGGTGTGTGCGGTGTTCTCAAAGGAATGGGAAAGCAGCAAATGTGCAATTATCACTTTACATTCATTGGGTAGATAACTTGTCCTTCAGTGACTAATACTGCTTACATTTTTATGTGTTGATTGCTTGGGGGAAATTATATGGCTCATTCTGCATAAGAAGCAGTTTAAGTACCTTGCTTACAGACTTAGCGGCAGTGTTCAGAAAGGGGTTGATGCTACGGCTCTCAAAGTACGAGCTGAGCTGTCAGAGCACCGCTTCATGTCACTTGAATATAACATGAGGTACAAGTGCACAGAATCTGTGCCTGATGGGCCAGTGCATTGTCAAGAAACCTCAGTAAAATATGGGTTTACTCATTTATGCAGCTGGGTGTCTACTGAGGCGATTCACTTTATGTGTGTCACTCGAGGTTGCAATAGCAGGGTTACTCCTCCTGGAAACCTGTCTTTTGTGTACAAATCAGCATCCTTAACATCTAGGTTGCCCAAAGGTCAGTTGCACCTGATCCTAATTTATGTTTGCTTGTGCAAATGCAGACTCAGATTCCTTTACTTCAGGCCACACAAATAGTCCACTTGGTCATTAATTAGGATTTCATACACTTAGTTATTGTCATGAACTTATTACCGTGAACTGAAGTTAAAAATAATGATGCTATCTATAAATGTGTTTATTGTGACATTTACAGTTTAAATTACTGTAACATGCTTCTATTGTGGCATAATTAAATATGTTTTCAAAATATTTGTAAGTTGGTCCATAAATTCATCCATCTGTCTTCTATAAATGCTTGTCTCTATTCAGAGGCTTGTTGAGGCTGGCATCTGTCCCAGAAAGTGCACGGCACAAGGGAGGGGTAGCCCTGGATGGGATGCCAGTCCATCGCAGGACAAACCCACACACATTGGAAATTTTAACACACAAGTTCACCTGACTGCATATTTTCAGGATACACAAACAGAGGGAGAATGGGCAATGTCCAGCACAGAGCTAAAGTCAGGATCCAGAGCCAGCAACCCTGAAGCTATGAGGCTACAGCACTAACCACTAAAGCGGAAAACCAAAGTGAGCTGGAATGGCGCTGGAACCAGTCTCTCTTCGTGCTACGGCTCCGGTACGGCACAGTTCCTGTGTGCCAGTGGAAAAGCGACATAAGTTGTCGTGGCTCCAGGACTGGGTCATAGGAACCAGGGGGGACGGGGATGCATGCCCCCCCCTACATTTAATTTGGCTTCATTCACCCTCCCACCCCCCAACAAAAAATAAACCTTTGCCCCCAATATGAAACTCTCTCATACACCCAACAGTATTAATGTATAGTTTCTCAAAATCCATTATTAACTTCATTAGTACTTTTTTTTTCTTTCAAAATTAAATAAAATCTGAAACATTCTACATGTTTTTCTACTGATACTCTAGCTGGATATACATTATCAACAATTGGAATTTTGACTATGCATTACATACTGCCGTCATATACTACTATGTACTTATATAATAATACAGAACAAATTGCAACAAAGCCTTTAAAAGTTACATATTTCCCATACACAAAATTTAAAACATCTAAGAAACCAATAGATCATCTGTATTTTCACAATATGTCTAGTTTTAACTTAGGTTCTGAGTTTTACAATGGGAATAACATTTTTGTCCACTTGACTTAAGATGATGACCCATTTAGTTTCTTTTTAATACCAACATTATTAAAGGGCATCGGAGTGACATTTGTACATGACTACAAGCTGACTCTTGATGAATTTTTGAAATATTCATGCCCACATGCAAGTCTGGAAAACATTATTACAGGAGTTTCTGGAAGTTTACAAAGGAGTTTCATGTTTTTCATCGCTGTGTTGTGTGATAAGGTTACTAATGTATCAGTTGTGGAGTCTGAATGATAATGGATGAAACCTGGCTTTCCTACATACTTAATGATCATGTGGGCAAATGAAGAAGAATAGAATCATTTTCTTTCTTCGTGTTGCTGGAATTTATTTCTGTCAAAATGAAACTAAAGATGCAGCATAAAGACAATAGACTTTGTCAGCAGAAAGAAGCTGGCCACTCTTGATAAAATGGGTGAGAGTAATACCAAAACAATGAGAGTATTACCAAAATGTGGGGCTGTAATGATAAATGGGCAAGTGAAGAGAGCAGGATCATATTATGATGTGCCTGAGATTGTTGTGTAATCCTCAGTATAAGCCCACATGCATAATTAGGGTAGTGTCATGAAAACAGTTATATCTTGAATGCTTCTGGACTGTGAAGGGATGAAACGACATTAGAAATGAAAAGATGAGAGCTCACTCCTTGACAGATGCTGATACTGCCCTGACCTCCAGGGACTCATTCAGTGTAATTAGCTAGATAGACGATAGAGCCATTTGTTCCACTGATGAGAAACGAAGCCAACATTCAACCTGGATGCTGACAGTGATGTAACAAGGTTCTGAATGAAATGAAAAACCTTCCGTAACGTTGGCCAGTTCCCACTCAGCTAGCTTGTCCCACAATCCATCAGTGCCCATGAAATCATTAGCAATGTTATAAATGTTGTACAACATGTTTTGTGAGTAAACACGCTGTATTTTTATAGTGACATTTTATTACGATATCCTTCAGTAAATATGGTGCACTGTAGCCTGGCATCTAAAGGGAGACTCCCACTGTGTGTGTGGAGTTTGTATGTATATGTGGCTTTCCTCTATTCGGGCAAAGTCATGACGTTTAGGTAAATAGTCTTTTATAACGTGCCGTTCGTGAGTCGTGACACGATAGCCCTGTCCCAGGCTGTGTCCCAGAAGACAGCAAGCAGCATCATGCTGGCTACCGTAACTGTAGTTTTCTCCCTGCTGGTCTCAACAAGCGCTAAGGGGACACAGCTGGCAAGGAATTAATATTTCATTCAGGGGTTGGAACAATCTCCCTGGCCAGGCTTACAGGAGAGGAGGATGAGGAGAGAGACAGAGGGAAGCAGGTAACCATGTGTGCTTTTTGGAACTGAGGGGAGGATGACCATCCGTTAGGGCCTACTGCCTGCTGCCTATTGCCTGCTGCCTGCTACCTACTGCCTACTGCCTGCTGCCTATTGCCTGCTGCCTGCTACCTACTGCCTGCTACCTACTGCCTACTGCCTACTGCCTGCTGCCTGCTACCTACTGCCTGCTGCCTACTGCCTACTACTTGCTGCCTACTGCCTACTGCCTACTGCCTGCTGCCTGCTACCTACTGCCTGCTGCCTACTGCCTACTACTTGCTGCCTACTGCCAACTGCCTACTGCAGGGGTGTCAAACTCCAGTCCTGGAGGGCCGGAGTCCTGCACATTTTTGAGTTTCCCCTCATTTAACACACCTCATGCAGCTCCTTTTGCTGGCCCTGATGCACTACAGTTACTAACAGCATCCAATATGGCCAAGGCCACACAGCTCTTCAGCTGAATCATTTGTGGGGGAACAGGGAAAGAACTAAGCTACACAGGGCTCCGCCCCCCCAGTACTGGAGTTTGACACCCCTGGCCTACTGTCTACTG